GAGCGACTGCCTTCGGCTCAGGTCATGATCCTGGAGTCCCGGGATCGAGTCCCGCATCGGGCTCCCTGCTCGGCAGGGAGTCTGCTTCTCCCTCTGCCCCTCCCCCCTCTCATGCTCTCTCTATCTCATTCTCTCTCTCAAATAAATAAATAAAATCTTGAAAAAAAAAAAAGACTTCTTACAAAGAGTAAAATTCTAAATACTCGCTCTTGTTTCCTGCTTTTCAAATAAAACCAATATTTTCTCCAAGCATATCATTTTCCCAGTCAAAGGCACTTGCATTTCTTAAAAATAGGAATTGAATTATATTAAAAATGGAGTGCAAGTTTTCCCTCCCCAGGATAAACGCAGTGCCTGCTGGCAGGTACCAGCTGCAGATGCTGTCTAAGCAAATATGGCAACAAAAGGGGACTATTTACTTCGGCACATGAGAAAATGAGGTAGCAGTCTCAATAACCGGTTCAGTAGAATCAAAGAGATATACCTGTAGGTTTTCAATTTCTTCTTTGTGTTCCCTCTTCAAGTGTAAAATAGCAGCTTGGTATTCTGTAAGATCACAAAAGAAGCCGATTACAAAAAAGCACAAAATTATACACAAAATTCAAGTGAGCATCTCCAAGAGGCCAGAGTCCCTCCTGCAAATAAACTAAGTCAATAAATGCCACAGTTTGACATCAACCTGACAAGAGATGTTGAAAACTGGGACAAGATAGGACAAGTCGCTTAGGAGAGAAGGGAAATTTCCTTCCATTTGGCAAACGCTGAATTATGAGAGGCCCCAAATTAAGCAGAGAGGATAGGGTTAAAAAAAGCATGATGAGTGTTCCAGATAAAGACTGGGTCAGGTGTTTGTCTTTAAGAAGGAGTTGGAAGCTCAGGCAGCACTGAGAACAAATACAGACGTGTTAAGAGCAGACACACAGGAAATAAAACTTTGTATGTGAGATCAGAGAACTCTATTTTTAACTGGTTAAAAAAAAAAAAAATCTCCATTTGAATGCAAGGCTAAGCAAGCATCCAGGGCTGATTTTAATCTTTAGATCCCTTCAGAAAGTCAAAACCATTTGTCATTTGGATGAGATAATCTAGGGTGAGTTGAGGTTGAAAGGAGGACAAAAATAAATTTCTGATCCAATTTTAGCCTGGGTCTAATAATGTTTATTCCAACAAAAAGTCCCAAGTGTACACAAGAACTCCAGCCAACAACTAAAACTACCAGCCCGCTGGCTAAGCATGAAGCGGCTCTGACAACTTTATTTCCAGCAGGACAACTAAGTATGTGGGGTCATAGAACTATACAGACTGGAGGATCACAAAGCAAAATGCTATGGAAAAACATTTTTGTGGGATAAGTTGTTACCTTAACAATGTGTTTGGGGTTGTGAGTATGAGTACTAAAGAAGCAGTTAGATGTCATTTAAAAAATATATGAAAGGATAGGCTATTTCTTCAGGTGGATTTCAGAAATCAGGCATGAAAATTCAGGTGTCAATTCAAAAATGGATGAGGGAAATCTTTGGTAAAGCCACAACAGGACAGGAGTGTTGCTGTTATTATAAATGGTCACACCGCTGCTCTTATGGGGAATGTGTTACATTGAGCTATGAATCTGTCAGCAAGTTCTGTGAATTTTACATCCAAACCATACCTTGAATCAAACCACTTCTCACCATCCCCACACTCACCAACCACCCCTATGGTCCAAGCTACCACAGTTTTCTCCTCGACCTCTGCAATAACCTAGAAAGTTTGCCTGCTTTGACTCTTACCACCACCACCATACCCATTCTTCTACAGCAGTCTGAATAATCTACTAAAGGCCTGAACCAGATTATCTTATCCTGGGCTTTCCAATGCACTTAGAGTGAAATCCCAACTCTTACTGCAGCCCATAACACCCTTCACAACATGGCACCTACATGCCTCTCCCTGTCTTTGCCTTGTTCGTTACAGACCAGGCACTCTGGCTTTCTTGCTATTCCTTGAACTTGTCAAGTTTTTTTCTACCTCAAAATCTTTACTAATATTGGAGACAACGATATGGATTGTATTTATTGAGCATTTACTATATATGAGGCATTATTTAAGTACTTCATATGTATGGACTCATTTTTTCTCCCACAATAACCCTGTCATGTAGGTACATTATCCCCATTAATGATGAAGAAGTCAATGCATAAAGAAGTTATGCAGCTTTCTTATTTAAGAAAGATGAATAAATTGCAGAGCTAGAAAACATATGTAATTCAAGAGTGAATATATAAACAAATTGTGGTATAGCTATAGAAGGGAATACTACTCAGCAATACTAAGGAATCACTATTGATACATACTTCAACATAAATCAATCTCAAGATATTACGCAGAGTGAAAAAGTCTCAGAAGTCTAATTATTGTTTAATTCCATTTATATGACATTCCGGAAAAGACAAAACCATAGGGATAAAAACAGATCACAGCAGCAGTGGCCAAGGTTGGGGGGGTGCTAGTATTTGATTACAAAGGGGCAGCACACAAAGGAATTTTGGGGGTGATGTAACATTTCTCTATCCTGATTACTGTGGTGGTTACATGAATTTGCACATGAGCTAAAACTCATGGAACTGTGCACCAAAAAGAAAAAGTTAATTTTATACTATGTTAATTTCTTAAAAATTACATCAAATGTTTTACTTTTAAATGTTTTCCCTAGGAGACTCAGCCTAACTCAAGAACACCTGTTACTACTATTTCTATTCATTATTTTCCTAAGGGTACTAGTGGATGCAATTGGATAAGAAAAAAGAAAACATGGGTGCACACACATGCACACACACATTTATATATAAAAATAAAGGAAAAAATTAAGCTATTATTCACTATGAACATGTATTTAGAAAAATTCAAAAGACTGCCTGCAGATAACATACTGAAATTAATACATAGTTTAGTAAAGTTGCCGGATATAAAAAAATCCTGATGCCAGCAACAGTTTCAAAAAGAAAACTTAACATTCACAGTACCCCTAAAAGCACAAAGTACTTAAAAAAACCTCATAAATTTTTAAGACCTCATGAGAAAACAGAAACATTATGTTGAAATGTATTACCAAGAAAGAGATAGAGAGTAAGCCATGTTTTTGATAAGACTCAATACTGTAAAGATGTTAATTTTCCCAAGTTGATCTATTGATTCAGTGCAATCCTGTTAAGCATTTCTAAGAGTTTGGGGGTTTTTTTTGAACAAGGAGTTCATTCTAAAATATACATTGAGGCACAGATGTGCAAAAAGCCCATAAGAGCCCAGAAACTTGAAAATATAAAGATGAGATAACTTGCCTTACCATTTAATAAGAATTATTTTTAATTATCACAACATAATTAAAATAGCATAGTGCTGAAAGAGGGATAACAGATAATAGAATAAAGGACTCAGAAAGACACGGTGAATTCATGGTCTCTTTATAGGACAGAAGTATCATGGAAGATCTTTGTTTATACTAAGAATGTTTTTTCTAATAATTATTGATTGGGAAATGTAGATATGTATATGGAAAAATGAAAATTGGATCCCAACTTTATACCAGAAAATAATCTATTTTAAGTTGATTAAAAGCTAAATTGTAAAAAGCAAAACTACAAATGTTTAGTACGACAATACAGCATAATATTTTTATAATTTCAGGTTAGGAAAAACTTAAGATTCAAAAAGCATTACATATAAAGGAAAGAAAATTGATAAATTTGACTACATTAAAAGAAAGAACTTCTTTTCACAATATGTCATAAAAAGAGGGAAAAGACAAGGCCACAGGTTGGGAAAATACACTTAAATAATTAAAGATCATGGGTGTGTCCGTGCGCGCGTGTACTCCTACAAAACTACAGAAAACGAAAAATGGGTAAAAAATGTCAATAAGCACTCTAAAAAGACAACATACGAGTAACAATTATATTCAAAGGTGCTCATTCTCATTAGTAATCAGGAATATTGAAAGCCTGACAAAACTGAGTGTTGGTGTAGATGTGGAGCAATGGAATGCTCACATAACTGTGGCAGGAGTGCAAACTGGTGCAATCACTGTGAAAAGTGATTTTCTAATAAAGCTGAAGCTACTCATACCTCCCTACCCAACAATCTTTATCCTGGCTACACACAAATGGAAAAAAATGACAAAAGGAAAGCAAATAATAGTAACTAAAGTCAGGATGATGGTGGGATCCAGGAGAAGACAAATTGAGTTGGGTTATGAGCAAGGTGGCATCATATGAGTGTTCAATGAAAAATTACTCTTTAACTTCGATGTGTTTTATGTCATTTTCTTTATGTATACCTAACATTAAAATGTAAGAAAATAAGAATAATCAAAAATCAATTCCAGGCCTTTACAAAGCAGGCAAATTATAGCTAAACCAACCTTCTTACAAAACTGATGCTCCTTGGAAATAACACCCACATTCTAAATAGAAATTACACACAGAATATATTTTGAAATGATTCATTTTGTGTAAATTGTACCTATAAGGGTGTGACAGAGTCATGACTAATTTACAGATTGATGAAGGAGACCATTGCAAAGATAACACCCAGGAAATCATGATTCATCTCTTCTTCAAATATTTTTGCCCATGGTCCCAGTATAACAAAGGACACACTCCCATTATGGAGAAGGATAAGATGGAATCTGCAGGCAACATGTAAAAGGGAGAAGTTAATGCCTTCACTGGTGGAAGGCTCATGCCACGGGCTCACAAGAGAATGCTAAGAGAATATAAAGGTTACAGAATTGTGAGTCTAAGCTAGGTTGGTGGTTTCCAAATATGTCTTGTTAGTGGCAGTCCCCTCCCTCCACGTTTTCTAAGTTTGCAAATGCAAGAGGAGAGCCCCTGTCACATGGAGGTGAGGATGGTGAGGCAGAGGTCTCAATTCAAGACTAAGGATGTTTTTGTTTGTTAAAAAGAGAATTTCACCCTGGTATTCAGTAGCGGAATAATGGGAATAATGGGAATAATGCATGAAGAGGAGAAATCAAGATTTTGAGTATCAGGGCTTGAAAAGGGCAGACCACTTTGAAGCTACATTAGCCCCAAAGGAAATTAACAAATAAATTCAATTAATCTAGCCCCCAGAAAAGAAACTTCAAGAATATCTTTTAAGAAAATAACATATTGCGGAGCCTGGGTGGCTCAGTCAGTTAAGTGTCTGCCTTTGGCTCAGGTCATGATCCCAGAGTCCTGGGATCAAGTCCCGCATTGGGCTCCCTGCTCAGCGGGGAGTCTGCTTCTCCCTCTTCCTCTGCCTGCTGCTCTGTCTGCTCTCTATTTCTCTCTCTCTCAAATAAATAAATAAAATCTTAAAAAAAAAAAGAAAAGAACATATTCTATTAAAAGACAAAAATAGGAAAAGGATCCTGACTGGCAGGATTCAACATGTGGGGAAAAAATATGTAAGAACTTTCCTCCCTAAAAATAAAACTCTTTCTAGTCGAGTACTTAATCTAATTGATACATATCCCTTTTGTAGTACAAATCTTCCTTTTTTTTTTTTTTTTTAATCCGCTCACAACA